GTACCGGTATTAATAATTATATGATTATCACTGACCCAACACAATTCTAAATTTTTCCAAAAAAATAAATAAAAAAACAAATTTACACAAAGGGCTATCTGTGTTCTACCCACCACGTGTATCGAAACTCGGTTTCTAGCAGTATAAGTCTGTGCTACTCTGGGGTAGGGCGTAAAGGTAAACACATTTGGGATATTCAAAATGTTTTGTTATTGCAGCGGAAATCTACACGTATTTACCGTGGGAATCGAACCTTGAATTCTAGCGTTATAAGTCTCCATAGCTTACAGCTGAGTCACCGAGGGTTGATTTTCATGGAAATAATTGTGGTTCGTTTGATGTTAAGCGCAGAGCTACACGATGGGCTAGCTGTGAGCCACGGGCAGGGGGTGAGGGGAGAAATGTATATTATATCACTGAATATTAAAAACTTGGTTGAACAGCTTATATTTTTATTAATGTTAAATCCTTTTGTAAAAAGTTAATTATTCGTTTATTTTTAATAATACAGGAGTTTTTTTGATGTTTTTTTTTAATTACTATTAATACGAATAAGATCGGAATGAATATTAAATCTTTTTCTCTAGCATTGCTTGAAACTGGGAAATTTTAGGTCTCATTTATATATCTTTGGTTAAATTTAGTACTCACTGTTTCCCAGTAGTGTTAGCCTCTTCTATGTAAGCCTAATTTTAAGTTTGTTGGTAATATTGCCTCGGGTTATTCTTACCTACTTCACACAAAGGAATTAAAACAGTTTGATATTTGCAACTTGACTAAGACGTAGAATACACGGTTTAGTCAGAGAACTTCTAATTTAGAACCGTTGTTTAGATGGAGGTGAAAAGGTGAGCAGCATCCGCCGTCTACTTTTAACTGAGAACCAGGACTGACTATCACGATTATAATATCTGAAACTGCAGGGTGTGTTTAGTAGCTCATCGAGGCTCGAACCTTTGACCTTTTAATCTGAATCCCGAAAAGCTAACAAATAATTCGCTGCCGCCCTTTCTATTAAAAAAATGAGTATTTATTTAATTTAGTGGCTTATCGAGGCTATAACCTTGGACCTTTTGATCTGAAGCTCGAAACACTAATGAATAATTCGTAACCGCCTTTTCTGGGACAGAAAGGAGTATTTATTGACTCGTAAAATAATCAAACACTACATTATCCTCATAAAAGTAAAACATAAACGTACGTTTTTAAATTTAAAGCATTAAAGGTTTCTCATTCTCGAAAATCTATGTTTATTAACTTATAAATCCCGCACGCTTTAGGCCTACATCGATAACTAAATGTATATTATTCTACTCCCACTTTTATGACATTGTCCCACAACTGGTAAACCAGGTATGATAAACAAAGCTTTACACATAAAAGTTGTAAGGAATGAACAATGTTTTTTCAACAATAATAATTCTTTGTTTAGAAACAAAGCTTTACACATAAACGTTGTAAGGAATGAACAATGTTTTTTCAACAATAATCATTCTTTGTTTAGACCCTAACAATTAAACACAGCTTCTATCAAATGGAAGAACTTTGCAACTCGGATCACAAGTGATAAATTGTATTAAATAAACATGAAAACAGATTTCCAAATTTTCGAACAAATCTATACAAAGGGCCATCTTTTCGTTTGAACTGCAAGATTAGAACACCCACTACCAAAACTTGGCCTTCTATTATTTGACAGCATAGCTGGATTTAATTGTCACTATTATGACGTACCCACGGCCAAAACTTTGCGGCAATGGGACCCAAACTCTGAACCCTCAGATTCACAGTCCGGCTAAACTAGCCATTGATCTACACCCAGCTCTAACAGAAAAAAAAAGAAGTCATTCACAAATATGATCCCTACATTGTAAAAAGTTTATTTAGTGATAATGATAATTATGAAGCACCATTAAATGGCATAGTTATGATCATGCTCTGTCTGCTTTCCTTAGTGATGTCTAAGTTTAATAAATTAACACTGTCTATGATTTTTTTCCTTATGATCATGCTCTGTCTGCTTTCCTTAGCGATGTCTAAGTTTAATAAATTAACACTGTCTATGATTTTTTCCTTATGATCATGCTCTGTCTGCTTTCCTTAGTGATGTCTAAGTTTAATAAATTAACATTGACTATGATTTTTTCCTTATGATCATGCTCTGTCTGCTTTCCTTAGCGATGTCTAAGTTTAATAAATTAACACTGAATATGATTTTTTCCTTATGATCATGCTCTGTCTGCTTTCCTTAGCGATGTCTAAGTTTAATAAATTAACACTGAATATGATTTTTTTCCTTATGATCATGCTCTGTCTGCTTTCCTTAGCGATGTCTAAGTTTAATAAATTAACACTGACTATGATTTTTTTCCTTATGATCATGCTCTGTCTGCTTTCCTTAGCGATGTCTAAGTTTAATAAATTAACACTGACTATGATTT